AAGGGTATTTGGGACCCAAAACTTACGGGTACAAACATTAAGGGTACACACTTAAAGTCTTTGATCTACAGGAAGTCAGAGCTCACTGCATCCTATGCCCTAAACTTACATACCAGCCCCCGAGCAGTATACCCCAAAATGCCCAAGCCGGCCATAAAATCCCAATACTGATAGCAGTAAAAGTCGTCAATTTTCCCATTTGTTCTGGGGTTGAAAGCTGTTACTACAGGTATTGCGGAAAGTTTAACCCTGAATCCTAAACCCCTAACCCCTAAACCCATTTGTTTGCCACCCAGATGCTTCCTCTAGGGCCCTTGTAAGGCCTTCTCCTCAGCCTCAGCCTGGGCCAAGCGGTCCTGCCCCCAGATTAAGGTTCATTAGAATTTAGGGTTACGGCTTAAGGTTTAAGGTTTAGGGTTGCATATAAAGCTTAACTTGCTGGCTGGTTTAGGGTTTTAGGGTTAGAGTTAAAGGGTTTGCAGGCAAAAAGTGGTTATAGACTCCTCTAGCATGGGGAACCTGGAAACCTGTAGTTACAGGTAAAATTGTGAGCGCCCATCAGAACACGTAAGGTCCCATGTCAGAGCTACATATAGCCTAAACCCTAAACCTAAAGTAGTTCGAAGAATCTCCATCTCCGAAGGCCCTGCAACTTGCATGACTCACATATCTTACCCGTTGTTAGTAGGCAACAAGGGAATACAAACCCTAGGGGTTATACATATATATATATATATATTCAATCTATCGAATATATTCCGGTTCCCTGCCAACCCCAGTAAGATATGGCGTGTGGAAGTCTTAAAATGTCCATTGTGGGATTATATGGGCTCTCCTCCTCTGTTGAGAACTTTAAATCCCAAACTCTCAACAACAAACTCCTAAAACCTAAGCTCTAAACCCCAAATCCTAAACCCTAAACTCTAAACTCTGAAACCCTAAACTCTAAACTCTAAGACCCCAAACCCTAAACCCTAAACCCTAACTTCAGCTCTTAGGGCTCCTGTTCTCGGAGGAGGTCTGCCGCCACCTCGCGACTGACAGCGTCGATGCGGCTTGCCCGGTTGCGCTGGTAGACCTGGTCTATGAGGTTTGGGGTTTTAGGGTTTTGGGGTTTTAGGGTTTCAGGCTATGAGGTTTGGGGGCTTTAGGGCTCTTGTAGGGGTCATGTATGGGGTTACATAAGGATTATCACTATACAATGAGAGGATTTTGGCCTACATTGGTGGAGAATCACATGGAACATGGTGGAAGGTCCCGTTGCCCTTTATTTCCGTGATTCGTTGTCTTGCAGCATTCCTTCTCTCAGCACCTAATACAGGAGCATGGGCAAATTTAAGGTGGCTCACATGGGCTCTTACTTGAGAATCACGAAGGAACTTAGCTCACTATCCTGAGGAGGAGTCTTTATCTAAACCCCAATTGAAAGAAAATGTCCTATAACCCAAAGCTTAGGATCCTCATAGGGTCAAATATCAGGAGCATCCTGTTTGCATCACAGAGATTTTAGAGGAGGTTGCGGTACAAATGCTGCTCTGTCCCTAAAAGAAAGGTTAATGGCAAAAAGCAAATCATGCTCGACAATGATCCAAGTACTCGGTAGCAGCGGTCTGCCTTCTCTAAGGTCTCCGGCCGGAAGGTAGTGAGGATCACTTGGGAGGTCTTGGCAGTGCGAGCAATCAGGTTGGCCAGGGCCGTGCGGTAGGAGGCATCCAGCGCAGCGTCCACCTCATCCAGCAAGTAGAAGGGAGCAGGCTCCAACCTGTAGTTTTCTGAGCCTATAATTAAGACTATTTTTTAAAAAACAATTCCTGAAAGTTCTATTATAAATTATAATCAAATTAAAAAGAGTTCCTAAGGAGACTGCAGCAACCTCTGGATAGCAAAAATGAGGCTGAGGGCTACCACCGTCTTCTGGCCACCTGAGAGCTGGTTCATAGACAGGAAGGATTGAGCCTGGCCCGTGAAGGACACCTCAATGCGCACGCCCACGATGTCCCCCAAGCCTGGCTCCTGGGATTCCTGCGTGCTGGAGTTGCCCTCGCGCCGGGCGACATGCAGCTGCCCCACACCACCTGGGACCATCTCACTGAAAACCTGCTGGAAGTTACCATTCACCTTCCTGAGGGTCTGGTGCACGGACTCTTCCTTCTGCGCGTCGATCTGTTGGATTGCCTCCGCGATTGCAGCTTCCCCAGCTTCAATCTGCTCTTTGCGAGCCCGAAGGTCCACCAGCTGCTCCGAAAAGTTTTCATACTGCTCTACGGCCTTGCGGTTCACATGCTGGAAGCCCTGAAGCCTCCTCGTGGCCTCGGAGAGCTCCTGCACCAGCTGCCCTTTGGGAAGCTGCCTACATTGCTCTACTTCTGCTGGCGCCGCGGCGAGACCCTGGAGCTTTGTGTCCACCTCTGCTTTCTTGCCATTCTGTGCCGTCTGCTCGGAGGTAAGTTGGTCCAGGCGCACGGAAGCCTGTGCTGCCTGATCCGTGGCACGCTGCTCCTCCGCAGCCAGCTGCTCCCTATGCTTCTGGCTCTGCTCGCATCGCTCCTGGAGGTTCTGTAGCTCCTGCGTCTCCTTGGCAAAGCGGTTTGCGGCCTCGCTGTGCTCGCGCTCCAAGCGGCTCTGCGCCTGCACAGCCTCCTCGGCCCGCTCCGCCGTCTCTTCCTGGGTAGTGCTGGCCACCTCCAGCTCCAGCAGGTGCAGCCGAGGCCGCAAAGACGACTCCAATTGCGCCTGCTTCTCCTCCAAGCGCGTCTGCAGCGCTTTGAGTGTCTCCTGCGCCTGAGCCTCCTGAGTTTGCAGCTCCTGAAGTTGCCCCGTCAACTCCTCCAGTCGCCTCTCCTCCGCTGCCGTAAGGCCGTTCAAGGATCGCGAGGCCCTCTCAGTTCGCTTGGCTTCGATCGAAGCCTCGCACTCCCGGATGAGGACCTCCATGCGGTGGCGCCACTCCCGGAGCTCCGTCACCTCCCGGCCACAGCGCGACAAGGTCTCCTCGGAGCTCTTCACCTGTTCCGCCAGGCGCTGCATCTCCGCCCGGACCTTGTCCCTCTGATCCTGCTTGCTGCGGCGCTCCGCGTGCAAACCATTCACAGATTCCGTCAACGTCTCGATCTGGGAGTCGAAGTCAGGAAGCTTTTGCTGCGCCTGGTGCACCTTCTGCTCTGCAGCCCGGATGGCCTCTGCCAGAGACAAGCGGACAAAGCGCTGTGGGTCCTGGAAGCCACCGGTGATAACGCCCTTGCGGCTCACCCTGTCCCCATCAAGCGAGATTGCATCAATGCCATGATGCCTTGCAACCTCTTCACAGAGCTCCATGCTGGAGCATACCACTGCCCTGCCAAAGATCTGCTGCACCGCTGGCTTTACCCAGTCCTCACACTGCACCACGTCCACCAGGGGCTTGATGCCATCCATGGTGGGAAACGTGTGGGACCTCAAAGGCAGCTGGCTCAAGGGGGTCACCACAACGGCGCCTAAACGGCGAGTCCTCACATGCTTCACCGCCTGCGCCGCTGCCTCATCATCCATGGCCAGAACCTGAGGCATTGCTTTTCCGACCCTCATGACTTAAGGGGAACCCAAAGAGATTAGATTAGAGTTGGCTTTCAACACGCTGATAATATATTCAATTGAAAGGCTGTGGGCCTCACATAGAACCTGGAAGGGACACAGTGTAACTCAAAGATTTATGCAAAAGAGGGGCATTGAAGAGCTGTGTGCCAGCGAAGTTCTCCACTGCCGCGCGAAAGGTTGGTGCCACCTGGTGTCTTCTCGAAACAGGGGGGGCTGCGCGGCTATATGTGGAGAATATTGGGGGGTTTTAGGGTCCCTATCGAGGAGTCGAAGCGGTTTATTTTGAGTGTTACAAGACTTTTCATAAGGAGATTACATGCAAGAATCAGGCTTCGGGGTGTATCATAGCAGGAATCTTTAAAGGTGACGCAGGAGCAAAACTAGATGACTAAGTGAAAGAAAAATTCACTTGTCGTTGGTGCCTGCTTTCTACCTGGACCATCTCGTCAGGTCTATGCGTTTTACACGTGTAGCCTGCGGCTCCTACAACGCACGAGTACAGACCATGAAAATGCTGAAGCACAGGGGAGCCTGCACAACTGGAAGAACCCTACCAGGTATTCCTACCATGTTTTCTTAGATCCTCCCCAGGGTTTAGGGTTTTGGGATTACTCCGTAGGGTTTAGGGTTTTGGGATTAGGGTTTAGGGCTTAGGATTTAGGGTGTAGACTTTAGGGTTCAGGGCTCTTCATGGTAATGCCCAGCCCTGAACCCTGAAAATACCCTGAAGTATGGAGAGCCGAAACAGCAGATCCTGCCTGGATGTGGGAGAGAAGGGTGCCCCGAATGCGATCCTGGGAGACTGGCGCTTGAAGCCTTTTCTGGTACTTCCAGACATATGGGAGTCTCTGAAAATACTCAGGGTCCCACATATACATGTATGTATATACACATAAATATAAAGAGAGGGATTGTAAGAGGGCTATTCGGGGTCCCTATTAGGGATAATAAGGGAGTGGGTACCCGTCCCAAACCCAAATGCGGACATGCTTTGCGCAAGCTTGTGCTTTGAAGCCTAGAGTCCGTCAAGAAATCTGTTGAGTCCATACTCTAAACCCTTAGTTGAGGGTTTGGGGTTTAGGGTATACCCTAAATCCGACACCCTAAACACTAAGGGCAGGGTTTTTAGGGTATACCCTAGACCCTACACATGTTTGCCCTACGAGCTTTCCGGGGCACAAAACAGGAAACCCCTGAGCTATGGGAGCCACAATCTAAACTCCTCAAAGGGGGTTGTATATATGGGGCAATACATATATATATATATAAATGTTTAGGGATTAGGGTTTAGGGTCGAAACGCCCTAAAGGGGGCTTATATAGGGGATTATATAGCGGACTACTAAAGGGGTCATTAAGTGGGACAATAGGAGTTTTAACTGTAGCTCACATGCCTGAAGCGGGATTAGAGTTCAGGGTCTAAACGCCCCAAAGTGGGCTTATATAGGGGACTATATAGGGGACTACTAAAGGGTTATTAAGGGGGACAATAGGATTTTTCACTGTAGCTCACATGCCTGAAGCGCCCTCAACCCCCAACCCTTAACTATCTCGCAAGGACTTGTAACAAGAGTCTAACAGACTCTCGTTCGAACCAGCGGAACAACCTCCTCGCAACATGTTTGGACCCCTGGTGCAGTTAAGAAATGTTCCTCAAACTCACATACATTCGAGGTTTGAAAGCCTCAAAGACTCAACTCTGAGACCTAAACGCCAAACCTAGCTCCCAATCCCAAAAATCCTACCCACTCACCTGGGCGCTATTGAGGAACTTAAACTAAGCTTAAGCTTTCCTTTGTGTACAGACAACCCAACTTAAGTTCCTTAACAGTAGCCCAACCCCTAAATCCTACAAATCCTACACCCCAGACATTTACCCCAAAATCCTAAGCCCTAAACCCTAATCCCTAAACTCTAAACCCCAATCCCTGAACCCTAATCCCTAAAATCAAAACCCTAACTCCTAAACCGTCGAACTCAAAGGTCCTGCAGGCCCTGCTCCACGGCCCAGCGCAGCACAGCAGACACCGCGTGGCGATTGGCCCTGGGCATGGTACCATCTAGCCTCAGATCGCCATAGGGGTAGAGGGATATGGGGGTATAGGGGTATGCGGGTATAGGGGTTCAGGGGTTTAGTGGTTTTAGGCTTAAGGGTTTAGGGGTTTTAGGGTTTAAGG